CCTTAGTACTTCTGAGGCAGCGCTGCGAGCGCCCTGCCTGTAGGTGTAGGTAGTGGCAAAGGCATGGACGAAGAAAAATTTCAGCACGACCAGCGAGGAGAAGGGCAGGGCTAGTGCCACTCTTCAGAAGTCACACGCTCGCTGCTTCTTGTGTTTTGACTAGTACCACTCTTCAGAAGTCGCTCGCTGCTTCTTGTGCTTTGACACCAAAGATCTAACACATCTATCATTGCGATGCGTACTACGTTTTTTGATTTGAGCGTGGCTGCAGCATGCGATGAATAGTACGCGGCGACTGTCGCTGCCAACTAACACACACGCTTGCAGATGATAAAATTTTGAAGGCGCTCCCTGCCTTGTGCAGGATTGATCCAGCAGCTCGATGAACGTATATAAAAAATGGAGAACTTCTGCTTCATTGCCACACAATGCAAAAAAAAACTCTACTTCCCAAGGTCCCACCGGCGGCGGCGACATTGCGGGCGGGCGGGGTGGTCTGTTCGGTTTCTTGTGGTGCCGGTACCTGGGAAGCAACGGACCCCGACCAGTGTCTCATGAATCGAGCCCGACACGGGGCCCTCTTCAACGAACCACTCGCTTCGCGATGTGCTGAAAGTTTAAAACTTTGGAACTTTGCATCGAGAAAGAGAATTGTGGGCCGAGACCTGGAACTTTGCATCGAGAAAGAGAATTGTGAACCGAGACCGAGGGGAGACTAGTGCGACCGGGGGCGCGAGCGCTTTCCCCACGCGCTTTCGCTTTGATGCCTTCCCTCGCGCGCTGGGAGGGAGCCGCGCTGCCTTCCCCATCGACCTACCCGCCGGCGTTTTCGCACTTGAATGGCGCCGGCGTTTCTTTGCTGGTGTTTTCGCACTTGAATCGCTGGGGGTGCTTTTTGTTTTCTCGTCGGTGGGCTTTTCCATGTGCCTCGCACGCAATTAACCCTGCGCGCGCCCACAGGACGAGGATGGCGCGCGGTGTTCCTTTGCTCCCCGCGCCCCGTTTTCTCTGGTCGGTGCGGCCGGGGAGCCCTACCATCTACGCAACCACAGCCGGCGCAAGCGTCTGCGCATCGGCATTTTCGCACTTGAATGGCGCGGGTGTTTCTTGGCCTTTGTTTTCGCACTTGAATCGTGGGGGTGTTTCCGCTTTATTGTCTTCAGCGCTGGGCCTGGGCCTTGCCCTACTATCAAGAAGTCGTGTTGCCTGCTGCGGCTGGTTTCACCATTGGCAGAACCACGGTCGGCAGCCGCGGGCCGTGGCGCTGGCGTTTTCGCACTTGAATGGCGCCGATCTTTCTTTGCCAATGTTTTCGCACTTGAATGGCCTCGGTGTTTTTTTGCTTCCTCACCGCTTCGGCCTGTTCGCCGTCACTCCTACTTTGCTCAGAACCAGTCTGCGCGCGGAAAGGCAGTCGCGCAAGTGATTTCCAGCAGAAAATCGCTTGCATTTTTGCCGTTGAATGGCGCCGGTGTTTTTGGTGTTTTTCTTTCACAACACACCAAAAAAAATTTTTCGGCCCTGCGGGGCTATCTTTTTTTTGCGGTGTGATTTCCCTCCTGAATGAGAAACGCGCACTCTACGGCGACCCGCTCTCGGCTCTCGGTTTCCGATTCCCGGTTCTCGGTTTCCGGTTTCCGATTCTCGGTTTCCGATTCTCGGTTTCCGATTCTCGGTTTCCGATTCTCCGTTTCAGGTTCTCGGTTCTCGGTTTCCGATTCTCGGTTTCCGATTCTCGGTTCTCGGTTTCCGATTCTCGGTTTCAGGTTCTCGGTTCTCGGTTTCCAATTCTCGGCTCTCGGTTTCCGATTCTCGGTTCTCGGTTTCCGATTCTCGGTTCTCGGTTTCCGGTTTCCGATTCTCGGTTTCCGATTCTCGGTTCTCGGTTTCCGGTTTCCGATTCTCGGTTTCCGATTCTCGGTTTTTTACGCCCTGGCCATGGCTTAACTTGATACCCCAAGAACAGGTGTTGACACTGCTACTTCTCCCGTTGAGGTGGTCTAGTATGATGTAGCGTAGGTATTATTTCGAACGGAGCAGCGGTTGTGGTGACCGGTTGTAGCTCTGAGAACGATGGTGCCCTACAGCGGTGATGGAAACCGATGGAGGATGGAAAGGTTGTCAAATGAAAACCGGTGGAGGTTTATCGAGGAGCAGCAACACGACGAGTGCGGGATAACTCGACGCTTGTCTCTTGAGCTCTACTCAGCCCCGCTCGAAGGTTCTTCAAATCCGGAGGTTGACGCCGAATGACTTTTCTTTTGCCTGAAACCTCCTGTCGAGCTCGTGACGGTGCCTTGAAGTAAATGTAAATTTCAGTTTGTCATGCAGAAAAACAGATTTCATCAAGAAGCAAGTCAAATTCTTCATGCAACAGCACACGACAAGTACAGAAACTTCAAAATCAAAAATACCTCAAGAACAGGTAATATTGACACTGCTTGCGCCGGCAAGGGATCGACCTAGAGTGTGTCTTTCCACCTTCCAGGACAGGGCTCAATGTGAAAGCACGGGGCCTCGAGATAAATAGCACCGCCGGTGGATGCTTTTATTCCTCGAAGGCGGGTGCGAACACCAGTGCGGAACGGCGCTTTCTTCACCTGAAGTGGTTGTAGTAAGTTTCTCATGCAGAAACAAAAACTGCAACCGTGTAGTCCTGGCATTGTAGGGTATTTTCGAAGTAGTAGATCATGTCGCGCAAATAAGATGAAATCATCGCACTTCTACTATACACATTCAAAAAGTTGTACAACAGTACTCCAGCTGGTCCTCGACCGCTGCAACGAAAACGCTGACGTGAAGGCCGCGGCTACTGCAAAGACCTCGTTTACTTTCCAACACGGGATCAAGAAGCTGCACCCGCGGAGAGGAGCCCTGCGCAGATCGATGCGTCGAAGACACCAGGGACGGTGATGGTTCAAGAAACTGTCCTACATTTTGAAAAGACTGTTGCTGTTCGTCCTATCACTCTGTGATAAAATTATTCGGACATAAGGCAGAGCACGACATGAATTGTGAATGATTGCAAACTTGATCTTGATGATGTCTAGAGCCCCGACTGCTGGGGAAAATTTTTCTTTTTGGGTGGAAGGAAGACCAGACTCTGCGCCGGCGCAGCTGCAGCCACAATCACAATCAAAGGTTTAGACGAATCAAAACTTCCAACTAGTGTACTAACTTCAAAAATAGGACCAGATTGTTCGTTTTCGCGAAACTAAATGTTACTTAGCACTGCAGCGTCAAATATTTGTTCGATGCTGCGGCCTCACAATACACGGTGCAACATTTGGTATTCCTCAAACTCGCTATCGAGATAGAGCTCTGACCATTTGCATTTTGTTCTCTCGTAATTCATAATAAAAACAAAAGTCCAAGATAACCTCGACAGCTACTTCCCGCCACAACAAGTTAATTTTTACATTGCTGATTATGATGCGAATTCAACAAGAGGAAAAAACACAGACAAACACGAGTTCTCTCATGTTGCGCTACTCTATCCCATTTTGCAATCAATAAATAGCACCGACTTTGCCATCCTTCTCCGGCGTACTAGAGCTTGCAGACAAAAAAACACAAAAGCATCGACGTCTTGAAACAACGAAGCCTTCAGCAAAGTCAGAGACTCGGGATGTGGGGGTGGCGGTGGTAGCGGGAACTCAAATGGTGCATCATCAAGCCCGCACGGGCCAAGAAGATGACAATAATCAAGTCGCCGTCGCGTCCGTCAAAGCCCATAAATCAAAAAAAAGCACCCCGTTGCAAAAGGCGCTGCGACTTGGTTTTTGATCGGTCGGAGCACTCACTTCGGCCACTGGCTTTCACCGAACTTGATGGCGGGGCAACTACCAAGCAGCTGTCCCACGCGGCTGCAGGCACGACAGCTCCGACGAGGAACCATCAACGCGCGCGCCCACACCACACGCCAAACGGCAACGCTCCGAGCGCGGGGCGCCCGACCAAACGGGCTAAATGGGGGAGGGCAAATACAACATGGCCCCAAGCCCGGGCGCCGGGGCGCCCCGCGAGCGCCGTGGGCCCGATAACCGGAAGCGCGCAAAGCAATGCGCACAATCAGCCAGCGCCGGGGTCGGCGGCAAGCGCCAAAAGCCTCCCAGGGTGGTGGCCGGGAAGGCGCCGGAGGGCCTGGGGCGGCGCCGGGCGTGTGAGCGAGCGAAGGCCGGCGCTCTCCGCCCCGAAGAGTCCGGTCGTCCTGCAGGGCCTTGCGGTCCTTCCTTGCGGAGTGCGTCCCCACGGGCGTCGCGCCGCTCCGCCTGCTGCGGGCTGCTCATCTCCGCGAGGCTCTTCCGCTTCTCCGACCTTCTTCTCCCTGTGCCGCTTTATTCTCCCTGTGCCGCGAGGGCAGCAGGGGATGGGGCGCGCCCGCGCCCGCCCCCGCGCGGCGCAAAGGCCCGCGGCGGCCGGGGTGCGAAACGGCGCGGCCGGGGCGCAAAAAGGCGGGCCGGGGTGCGCGTCGGCCGGGGCGGGCGCGAGGCAACCGCGGCGCCGGTCGCCTCACCCAAAACCGTCGCAATGTCGGGGGGTTTTCGAAGGCAAAGGAGAAGCGCCCGCCGGGCATACTCGCTATCCGTCAACTGGCTGCCGGCCTCTCCGCGCAGTGTTTTGCGGGTCCGGCGGGGGCCGGCGCCGGCGCCCAACATGTGGCCCAGCGTCGTCCGGAAACCTCACGCAGACCAAACAGGCCGGGCGTATTTCATCCTTCTGCCCGAGCCAGTTCCTCCAGCCATGGCACCCACTGCAAGGCGCGAGGACGTGCGCCGCCGGGCGTGCGCGGCCTGCGCGGTCCTCTGCTTGTCGTCTGTAGTAGCTAAAGCACGGCCCGGCCTTGGTTTTTGTTTTCCGTACACACACACACACACACACACACACACAGCCGAAGGCACAACTGTGCAGACTCTCGCGGCAGTTCACTTGGACGGAAAAACACCTCCCTGGTGCGGCACTCCTGCGCTCGCGAGATAACGCCTCACGGACTTCTATGTGGATTTCGCGAGAAACTAAAAACTCAATGTCGTCCGTAGTTCTTTCTTCGTTATCTTTGCACTCCTTTGTTCATTCTAAAATCTCCGAAAAAACTGGTTCGCGGCCAATCGCAACACTTTCTTCTAAAATACTTTTACTATTCGTCCAACACCACCGTGTTTGTGTGGTTGCTGTATCACTTCGAAACTGTCTGCGCTGTTAGCGTTAAAAAACTTGTTCCTATGTCATCTTTTGGTGTAGTTGCTTTTGTCTGAGCTTGCAGCTAAAAAAAAATTAGTTGAGCAGGATCTTACTTGGCTTTAAAAAGTATAAACATTGCAGTATACGAAGGTAAGAATCAAAGACTTTAATCTTACACTTGTCGCTGATGTCAAGACCCGACACCAAAGTTCTAGTAGCACACTGGCGTTCCTCCTCTCTTGTCAACTAATCCGCCAAAGAACCGTCCGATTTCTTTATCCGTGTTGTACGCAAAAAAGTTCGTCCGATCTCACTGTTTATCTTCCGTGTTGGAAACAGGCTCCGATGAACTCGATCCTTTCAGATCGGACGAAGAAATTGCGGAAGTTTCCAGTGCTTCGATAGTTGAGATTATCTCCCGTACCAGAAATAATTGCGAACTTGATGCAGCTGCTGTTCCCGTTACTTCATCCTCGTTCAATACTTTGGTGCTGGTTGTCTTACTCTTGCTTTTGTCACCGTTCCTCACTGTACTGCCTGCTTGGAGATCCTGAGCCTCGTGATCATGTGGTTGTTGCTGTTCCACGGTTGATGGAGAGGAAGCAGCAGGAGCTTCTGTCGCCGTGTCCTTCTTCGTGCAGCTGTCATTTAATATTTCTCGAGTAGTAAACAGCTTCTCCCCTAGCTCGAGCAAAGACCTCGTCTCTGGCACTTCAAGCAGTGACAGGATTTCTTCCGTCCGGTGGCAACGGTCGGGTTGGCCGCAGTAGAGCACACCGTGGTGTAGTTTGATGAGCAGGGAGTTTTGATTTTGATCCTCACCTGGAAGATTTTTTTCCTGCTCTGCTCGTCCAGGTGTACCACCGGCTTGTTGCACGCCAGGAGCTGTTGGCGGGGACGCGACAGTGCTAGTTGTACCTTTCATCACGAGGAACGGTTGTATCTCACCATCAGATCTCGGACCCGGTTTCTTGAAGACTACAAGCACTGGATTTTTACCGGTTCTTGTTCTATTTTCACAGATGCTAGTTTCGCGTTGGTTTGGATCTGTTTCGAGCGCGTCGCCCTCGCCGGCAGAAGAAGAAGCTGAAATTGGTTTCATCTCCGAAAACCTGAGTTCATGCCCATCGGAGAGGGTGCACGTCACCGTCTGCTGTAAAGTCGCCAAGGGCAGTACCGGTGGGTAACGATAATCGTCGTTGCGTTGCCCGAAAAACAAATCGAAGCCGACGTAGATCCCGCCGGTACAACTACGCGCAGCAGGTTTTCCGCAGTTGGCTTGCGACTCCGAAGATTCTTTCATGTTCTCGTCCTGCGCGCCTTCCACGACACCAAGTTTATTCTGCTTGTTGCTCTGTACTGGTTCATTTTGCTTCACGAAAAAACACTTCGGGCGGCAGAAGAGGTTAGCTGCATTTCTCTGCTGCGTGATCAATCCGCGGAACACCACCCCAGCGGCCCACGCCGGCTGGAAGAACAGCAGAAGGTTCAACAGTGGCTGGATGGCGACACGTATGAACTGCAAAAGAGCCGCACACGCACTCGTATATATGCATTACAAATTTCCTCAGCATGAGAAATGAAATTTGTAATGCGGATTGCCCTCAAGAAAAAGCTTTGTAATGCATGACTGCAACTACTACGAGTACAATGCTTTTGCACAGGATAGCACGAGATTTCTGTGGGAATGCCTTTAGCGCAGACACATCCCCGGCGAAGAGCAGCGGTTCCGCCTATTACAATGAAAAATGCCCCCACCCCCGAACTTGAAAGCATTTGTATTGCAAACCTTTCCAAATGAAACATTCGCCCTCTTGCAAGTATCAGCATCACAGATTTCCGATCGTGAATAGCAAAAATTTGTATTGCAAAAGATCCCAGCAAGAGCGGTGCCTGTCATGCAAGCGATGCGAAACACGACTAGAATCTGCATCAGAAAGATTCATACTCCTTTCATGCATGACAAAAAGTTTTCATTTGGAAACTTCGCATCACAAATTTTTGCAAGTTTGGGGTGGGGGGCACTTTTCACTGTAATACCGCCTCGGTTCGGTTCAGACTCGGGAAAAGTTCGGTGGTCAGGGGTAGAAGAGAACTCTTGCCGTCCTGCTCTGTAGTAGTTGCTGATGTATATGTAGTTGTAGTACTGCTCGCGGATTGCAACGTGCGGAGACTCTGCACGAAATGCTCCATGAGCGGTTTGTCCAGGGGCTTCCTCCGGGAAAGGTGATCTTCCTGCTGTGGCTCCATGTTGCACACAGCACCTTTTTCTTCTAACGTCAGGATGGCGCGTATGAGGGTGCGCAAGTCCTCCTCTGCCTCTTTTTCATGCAAAATACCAAATCCGCATAATGGAAATGCTATATGCGTTGAAGCATCCTGTCGATGGCATGTTTAGAAGTTTCAGGGCCGCAAATAATAGCACTACAACCCGTGGTGTGCGGGTTTGTCATGCGAAAGATACTGCTTACATTTGTGGCGTGGCTTCTGTTGCCCGTCATGAACTTCAAATGCTGGGCCAGGGGGAGCTGTGCAATCTCATAGCGCGCCGCGAGACGGTGTCCACCAATTCCGCAGTCAGCAAAGTTGGTTTTACAATCAGTTCGACACCTTCGATCTTCGCGGGAAGCTGGAGTAGTTTCATATGCATTACAAAAGCACCGCACTCATAGTAAAACGAAAAAATAGTGGTAGTCGAGCATGACAGATCTACCTTTGTATGCTGAGCAGCATTACAAATTTTATTTTTCATGCTAGCCGGATTTGTGATGCGATTTCTATCAGTACGACACTTTTGCAGTCGATATTTCAGTTTGTCCAGCACAGCCTCATATCCATTGCAAATATGTTTGGGTCTGGACATTTGTGATGCTAAAATGTGGATGATGGAAACACCTCCGAAACCGAATGCAGCCCAGCATGACAACTTTTCATAATGCGTTCTCATAGGATAGGCAGTTTGCATTTTTTGCATGAGAAAAATGGATGCGACTGTTTTTGGTATATGCAACACAGACTTGTTCACAGGAATGCGAATGCAAGACCAGCACTACAAGCTCAAACTTTATTCCAGGAGCAGACATATTTGCATTTGATACCCCCACCGCCAGCTCAACTGGTGCTCCTCCTGTTGTTCCATCGCACTGCTGCAGCAACAGCGAGGTTAGCGACTCTTGCAGGGAACAAGCTGGATCTCCCTTTTCCCCTGTTTCGAACCGCAAGGCTACGTCGACTGTGGCATCCAAGAGGTCCGACTCGACTGAAGATTTGAAGCGGAACAAAACGCCGAGTTCGAGGTCGAGGAGCGAAACGGAGTGGAGCTTGAAGGAGCATGCTGCTCCAGTCACCGTGTGAATGGTCGTGTTCTGTTCTTGTTCCAGCTGTGCATTGGTTTTGGTGATGGTGCCTATCGCTTCACTACTGTCGCCGAGACTCGCCGACAAGGTCGACCACGGGTTCGTACAAACCAAGCTATCGGTTGTAGCTGCACTCTTTCCTCCTGCGCGCGGACCGCCTGTTCGTGACGATGATGATGGTGATGATGACGATGATGATGATGAAGTGTAGTCACAGCGAGGACTACACTCGAACTTAACCGCTAAGCCTGTGATTTTTGACTCCGCTACGTTCGTGGCACTGGACCCGGAGGGACACAGCTGCGTCATTCGCCGGAACGACTTTGGTGTCAGGCGAAACGACCGGGTCGCTGGCAAGTCGGAGTCGGTGGTACTCAGAAGCCGCAGATCCACGTCGAGGCTGGCACCCGACAGGGAGCGGTTTTGCGCTTCAACTGCGTCGCTAAACTCCTTCTCGCAGAGCTCCACCTGCGTTCGTACGGCCTTTTTGACGATGTTGGTGCGTGGAACATCTTCGTCGTTCTCCCAATACTCCCCTTCCGATTCCACTAGATCTTCGAAAACATACCTATAAAGATCCGTCAAGCGATCCCGGCTGAAGTCACCAAGTCCGACCAAGGACAGCACCGCTCGCGTCCGGCCGAACGGTTTCGATCTGGCGCTCATGAAGAGTATGGCGTTGCGCAGTTGCAGTTCGGCTCTGCCCATGGCCGGCACGCCGGGAAGCACGGAGCCTGGATGCACCCCAAACCCCCGCAAGAAAACCTCCATCAGAATCGCGAGCCCTAGCTTCTTCTTGTCCCGCGGCTTCAGCACCAGCAACGCCTGTGTGGCCGAAACAATGACGCTCTCGGTGACAGCAAACTCGATACCTACTACAGTGCAGGTGACATCCTGCAGATTGGAAATGGGTGTTGTCGGCACTATTTTGCTTGGTTCGTCCTTGTCATCCTCGAACCATCCAAAACCGATGAGAGTCGAACCTGTGTCGTCATATCCCGAATCGAACAGGCGCGCAGGCAGGCGAGAGGTAACAACGCGCGAATCAGGGTCGTGGCGCTTGACGGTCATATCACACGCCCAGGCAGTTTCGAACGGAAGCAAAAGGCCGACGAGTTCGGACAGCGCAGGTTGAGGTTCTGAAATTATGTCACCGAAGCGAAATAGTCGCTCAGCGGCGCGCCGGGGGATGAGTGGGAACAAAGAGGAAGTTTCCGAAAGGAGACTGTGTATCAGCTCCGATTCGGGCTCGGACCGGGGCCCGGGCATCATCTGGGAGGAAGCAAGCAACTTCTTGTCCACGTCAGCAACTGTGTGATCTTTTGTTCGCCCTCCAACAGCTTCCTTCAGTTTTCGAAAATTCCGCACGAGGCTTTTCGAACGGAAAAAAATACTTCTTGCACTGGCGGCAGGAGACGGAGCTACGAAGTCCAAGACGTCCGCGGACTCGGGTAGGCCGAGCAACTTGAGTTCTTCCAGGACCGTTAGCGGATGACGTATCGACGTCGTAGTTTTTGCAGTTGCACTCTCCGGTGGCGGCCGATGCGAGGCCGCGTAAGGAGGCAGGGTCAGCAGAATCTTCTCGATATCCGCTGGCACTTTGCACACCTCGTCCCATCCGCGATAATTGTGACGCCGCACTATCACTTTGCCGCTTACCGCGTTGGTCATCTCGTCTTCGGAATCGGAATCCACGTCGAAAGACAGCGATTCGTCCAGATCCTCGCTCCCGCTCCCTTCCACGAGATGCCATGTTCCGAAGCTGAACGCAAACCTGCATCCCGCTCCCGCTCCCGATTTTCTGTCGTCCACAAATGCCATGTTCCTGCCTAGTATCCGAACATGCCTGGTACGGGTACCTCGGCCGTTGATGTCATCTGCACAGTATGGATAGCGAGCGTGGCGCACACGAACGATAGCGATACATAAATATAGGTCCCACCTTTAGATACAACAAGAACAAGGGCAAGGCCGAGCAAGCTCCTTTTCGAAGACACTGGAAAAATATCAATTTCACAATCACATTCACAGCTCCACACAAATACAAACAATTTTCCAAAGGGAAAAATGGAAGCTGCGCCTACTGCGTCAAAAAATGAAATAAAGCAGCTGTAATGATGGTGCAAGAATGTACAACAACTTAGTTGCAATTTATAGATACGAGTAAGCCGTCGTCGCAGTGGATAAGAACCGAAACCGGACGACAACCTCTAGCACCGCTCCGTCCACTTGAAAGGCATGCTCCCCGACATCGAGAGCGAGGGGACCCGCCTTCGACTTTTTCACGCCAAGCTGGAGCACTGCGCCGAATTGCAAATCCAGCCAGATGACCTTTTTCAGCTTGAAAAAAGTGCTTTTCCCTAGCACCAAAGTGTTCCTGTCCTCTTCATTGAACGGGAAGAACGAAGAGTGAGATCCCGGCGTGAATTCGACGGTAATTGCTTTCTTGTCATCGGTCTGGGTTGCGTCGGCCGCGGTCGCTTCGGCCTGGGTCGCGTCCACCTTGTAGTAGGAACGCGGGGAAAATGTCGTCGCCGCGCCGAGCTGAAGTCCCAGCCACGGGCTGTGCTCCAATTGGATCTGCTTTTCCTGCTTCGTCCACACGCTGGAAGTCGCTGTACCCGGACGGTGTGTCAAATGCAAATGTGTCTGGGTCTGGGAGGGTTGAATCTGTGTTGCGGATCTCGTAGTGTTGAAAAATCTGCGTAGCATAAGCAGCAACACAAGCACACACTATATTCGCCCTGCAAAGTCGTAGTTTGTATATGCGCTCTGCGTATAAAAAAGCTTTTCAAAAATTTATCATGCGTCACTGCATTTCAAGGCGTGCTCAAGCATGACCATTCAGCATCACAAGGTTCCAGACCCAGACATCTTTGCAATGGATACTGTGCGCTGGCATGCAACCGTAAATGAGCCGTCCAATCTCGTCGGGAACATTGGCCTCCAGTGGCGTGGCGCCGCGTTCCCTCTTTTTTTTCTCGAAGCACGTGGTAGCGGTTTTGGTATGGGATTCCCAAACGTTACGTTCTCAACTGTATACATGAATTTGTATTGCAAGATAAGCAATAGTGAAAGGGGCAAGCGCAAGGGCAAGCTCGCAGCCTTAGCATTACAGCTTTGGCACAGATTTAGATCTTGTTTAGCCCTTCGTGAATTTGTCATGCGAAGTAGCTTGATTGTGTGGTCGTGCGTGGTGGCTGATGGTAATTTTGCATCACAACAAGTTTAGGTATTAATTGAGAACTATGTAAATGTTTTCGAGTGCCATATTTCACCAGCAGTGCCTTCAGGTCCTTCTTCGCTTTCACGGGATCATTGGATCGCTCCTCGAGGCTATCAAATGCAGAAATGTAGTCTGGGCCTGGAAACCTTAACCTCTAATGCTGAATAGTCGTGAGTGAATGCGCCCTTGAGTGCAATGCAGCACGGAAAATTTTTCAAACGCTTTCTCATGCTTAGTGCGCATTACAAACTGCGCTTTTTCATCACAAAATTGTGGCGCTTTCGTTGCTTTTATGCAAAACAGATTTTTCAGAAAAAGTGCCTTACACGCAATCCAGGTTCAACTTACATTCCAGACCCAGAGATATTTGCACTTGATAGAGACGGTCGAAGATTTCTTGCAAACTCTCGTTCAGATTCAACATGTTGCGCTAGTCGTCGTGGTCGGCGACAGGAGGAATCAGCAACTAGAAGAAGGGGTAATTAAGTTCTTCCACGGAATACCTCCACCGAGACAACGACTGTTACGGCCACGTTCAAGGATGTAGCCGACGGGGTAGTAAGTAACACAATTCGGTCGTCGGGGAGGTGAAGCTGGCTGGATTCACGACGGCGCGATAGAACACCTGGACCTGGACCACGACCTGTTTAAACAATTTTTGATTTTGTATTGGCATGCAAAAAGAAAAAACAGTATAATACAAAAAACATTTCAATAGAACATGTTCATCTTCATCATGCAGAAAACGCAAGAATTATACTATTGAAAAATACATCGGATCATTTCCACTCTGATACCGCTTTGATGCTGCAGAATGAAGTTGGTCTTTTGCAGGAACGCAACCGGCCCACGTCCAACAAACTGACGCCGCAGGAAAATGGTATTATTTCGGTTGTGGTTAGCGGTTGTAGCCAGGTATGGGAATGATGGCGCCCTGCAAGGATGGTGTAAAAAATTGTCGGACGGAAAGAACCGGTGAAAGTTTATCAAGGAGCGTCAACACCTGAATCGCGGGATTACTCGACGCTTGTCTCTTGAGCTTTACCCAGCCCCGCTCTATCAAATGCAAATATGTCTGGGTCTGGAAGAATGGAAGATTTGTCATGCAAGTTTTTTATGATCGTTGAGGTCTGTAATGCATGGTCTAGCATCACAGATTTTGAGGGGGCTTTCTGATGCCTCTTCAGCATGAGAAATGCTCTCCCCACGTAGCACAAACTGAACTCATCTTGCTGGGCATGCAATACAGATTTTTTTCGAATCCGAAGACAGCATCAAAAGTTACAACCTTCCGGACCCAGACATTTTTATATTTGATACGCTCGAAGGTCCGTCAAATCCGGAGGTTGAGCGCCGAACAGTTTTTTTCTTGCATGTTGGTGAAACCTCCTGTCGGGCTCGTGACGGTGCCTGAAAGTCGTGAGATATGTATTTTCAGTTTGTCATGCAGAAAAACAGACTTCAAGATACGAATAATTCTTCATACAAAAGCACATCGATGCAGAAACTTTAAAATCAAGTATACCTTCCCCGAGAACAGGCGTTGACACTGCTTGCGCCGGCAGGGAATCGACCTAAGTGTATCTTCCTTCCAGGACAGGTTTCAAGGTCCGCGCGGGGTTACAGTAACTGTAAGGAAAACGTGAAAAACCACTACTGGCGCTAGCACTGGCCGACGACAAGACGAGACTCTTCTCCGCCCCAGGTTCTACTGATTCGAGGCGACGATTTACAGGCCAACGGCTGATGTTTCGCCGGTGCCGGTGTTTCGTGTTCCCTGCAGGGTTTATTTTTGGAAGTTTGTCATGCGAAACAGACACCATATTGCGTCCTCTGTGTGCAGAAGAAATCATACTCCGTGAAAAACGAAAACGAAGAGTGGGCCTCAGCCTCCATGATTCATTTGCATCACAGTGACATGATGGAAAAACTGTACACAATACAGTGGGTCGACGGTCGCTATGGTGACGCTGAGGACGGGGGTGGAAGGGAACAAGTGGACTTCGTCGGATAATTTACGTCTTCGCTAGTCCTGCTCACAACAGCATCCCGATCAGGCCCGGTTCCATCCGTTGTTCGAAGTTTTCAGGTTTGTTGATGATTCGTGTTCTAACTACAGGCGTTCCACTCCTAAACTGTACGAAACTGTACGAATGTGTAGTACTAGGTAGTACGAAAATAATTTTTTGGCGCATTGAAAACAAAACAGAGCTGTGTTACCATGATAGGGACAATCACGTTCTTGAAGACCAATTTGGAATTTACAAAAACCTGCCTGATTCTGCGAAAGGCGAGGTTCGAGGCTGTCACTTTTATCTGGTCCTGCGAAGAGACGTGTTAGGACATAGCAGAAAACCGCTTTTTTATTCAACTGCAGACAAGAGCTAAATTATACACCCCGCGTTCAAGGAAAAACAAACTTGCTTCGAGACGCCGCTTTTTCACTCGCTACCTAAAACTGACTTTTTTCACTCGATAAAAGCGCATCTTTGATGTTCACTCGGTGCGGAAATGAGCATCATTTTGTCAAAAAACACAAGACGCTCAGATATAACTCATTCAAACAAATGGACCGACAACATACTACACAATAGACCTACGCACAAGGTGCAAACAAAGCAGATCCTTGGCTGCAACTGCAGAAACAAGAAAATTCAACACACGACTTCTTGCTCTCGAAAGCGCTTGTCCTTGTGTTCGTGAAGATACAATACGCAGCCGGGCCATACCAGGCGCCACAGCGCAGACGCCGCACGGTGGGCCTGCGCGGTGCCCCCATTTAGCCCAAATGGGCCAAATGGAGGAGGGCGGATACAACATGGCCCCAAGCCCGGGCGACGGGGCGCCCCGCGAGCGCAGTGGGCCCGATAACCGGAAGCGCGCAAAGCAATGCGTACAGTCAGCGCCGGCCGGCCGGCGCCAGCGCCAAGCGCCAAAAGTCTGCGCGCCAGGGTGGTGGCTGGCCCTGCCAGGGTGGTGGCGCGCGCCTTTCCAGCCGCTGGGGGTCCAGAATTAGTGTCACAGGTTCCCGCGGTCCAGGCCCAGACATAATAGCAACGCATACGGCGCGAAAACTAGTCCCAGCATCCGACGCAGGGCCGCAAGCCGCTCGCAGAGCAGCTGAGCAACCTAAAGAGACTGGCCGGGACCGCGAAACATGTCGCGCAAAGGGAAGTACTCCGGCCGTGCAAAATAAATGCTAGCAACGACGCCCGTCTTTTCTCATCACGCTGACGAGTGGCCCGGCGCGGTCGGGGACTGAAATAAGACGGGGCGGAGACGCACGACAGGGGACGGGCAAACGGACCACCTGCGCCGATCCGGCGGCATTGCCCGTCGCGATCAAGCGGGGCACGGCCGGAAAGCGCCGGGCGGCAGAAATAAGCTGCCAGCCCTTGCGCGCAAACATCTTATCGTGGTTGGAAGGATTTCGCTGCTTCAGTAAAGACAAGAAGCTGATCATGATCACGGTAAGTGTCGTTGTGCACAACGTCGCCGAGAAGTAGAAAAAGATGGATGTAGTTCTTCGCTCATGTTGTAGCTTCGTGACTGACGGTTCACTGCTCTAAGACTTAAGTGTTGCACTCATAGCCTAGCTCATTTTTGCAACCACTTCTCGCAGCTGTCTCGTCCATGCATGTCAACCTCAGAACTCAACTCTGTTATGAAAGCGCACTCGTGCCAGACAAAGATACATCACGCAACAACACGAACACGAGGGCTTGCTTTAAAACAGAAGCTCTCGGTGGTGCAGCGCCTTGGCCCTACTATGTAAGGCTGCTGGCGGCAGGGCCGGGACACCCAGGCAATTCGAGCAAGTTTCTTTTGCGAAGCCGATGCGGCGCAGCGGACGCAGTTGCAGCGCTTTTGCTACAGTGCTCTAGCTGGTGCGCGGGTTTGACAGTCTTCACCAGGACTTTTCGCTCGGTACTTCTTCGTGAAAGAAGTGCACCATCCTCAAGAAGAAGCCTTCCGTAAGAAGTGCACCAGCCTCAAAGCTAGGGCTGCTCTGTATCTTTAGTATCGGTCCATCATAAGTAATCCTGTATTTTTAGTACTCTGCTCTTAATCAATGCCAGAAGAGTTGTATCATAAAATTATTAAAAATTATTAACAAGGGGTGAGTTCGAACTTTGATTTTGTTTTTCGTCGGACATTATGACGTAGAGGACTGAAGCCGAGTAAGAAATAGCAAATAAGACGGCCCAAAACAGTTTGACTTTGGATAGTGTTTTGAGTTGTAAAGATCTACTTTCTGAACCAATTTATTACGAAGAACGGTAGCAGGAGAAACGCAAAGAAAGCCACTCTCAACCGGTCTGCACTACTCGTCTTACTTTCTCGCGGCGAAGCACCACCCAGCAGTACGCCGCTTGCGCGTACAAGTAGAGGTAGTCGAAGCCGCGGTCTTCACCTCGCCGTCCGCATGGTCCGTCCCAGACACTGGCTCCTTCGCATCCTGGTCCAGGCCCGACTCAGGATCGTTCGTGCCCGACGGTCCCGCCAGCTCTTCATCCGTAGTGGACAGCTGCGCGGGTATGGAAGTGTCAGAATCGAAATTGACAAAATCGAAACGATTTGTCATGCACAAAATGGATTCCAGTTCGAACCCAGTTTCTAAGTGGCGCATGACAAATTCTGGTGGTGCCTAAATCCATTCTGTGGCGCTGTTTAGGCAAAGAAGACCGATTCTCTCATGCTGCTTTAGCAGCTCGAGCTATAACCCCAAACAGGCTTACAATCGGCCTCACTTGCCTGCTCTGCAACACACGCATTTCGCGTCATGCATTTTATGCATCACAAATTTTTCGATTTTGTCAATTTCGATCCTGACATTTCCATAGCGGGGTCGTGGTGGGTAACGGCCGCTTCCGCCTGGTCCTTGCTGAGTAGACATCGCTCCTTTTCCGGCGGGATGAATACCCAGCTGGAAGGTACAAGCGTTATCAGGCCCAAGCCCCCTTCGGGTTCGACGGACTCCACCGAGAGATCGGGCCTGGCGTCGGCGATCTCGCGCGGGGGGGGTATCCAAGAAAAAAACGTTGTTGGTGTAAATTTGTGATGCGCAACATGCAAAAAGATTGCGTCTGTCATGCTTGGCATGCGTCGTAGTGTCCATTAAAGGGCGTTTTCACATTCACGTAGCATCTGCGCATGACAGGTTTTTGCTGTCATGCGAGACGAATTTGTAATGCTGTTCCTCAAAAAAACTTACACCGGCAATGTTTTTTTCTCGGATATGGGGGAAGAAGACCTCGGGACCGACTCGGATTTCGTCGTCGTCCTCGGATTTCGCGATCTTCTTCTCATCGAACGGAGCAAACATCTTGTCCCGCAAGACCCGGAACTCGTTCCGACCGCTGACGACGCTCTTCCCGCAGAGATAACAACCCGCGCAGCAGCAGCCTACAGCGAGAATTGGAACGCCGCAGCAGCAGCCTACAGCGACATCGCCGATGCTCTTGATTTTTTCGCAGAAGGGCACGCCGGGGTCGACGTAAGCTGGGTTTTTGGACCAGAATGTCTCGCCGGGGTCGGACATTTCTTCGCTTCAAGCCGGTTTTTGGACCAGAAAGAACAGTTTTATACTTTTATCGCTTTTTTCTGTTTCTCAATTAAAAAAAAAGGACCCAAAAGAAAACTGTTTGTTGTTGAGCAAAAGATCAATCACGACGTGCCGAAAGATATCAGTGATCATGATGATGATATTACCCAGTAAAGGGCTCGAAGGAGGAATCGTACGATTCCATTACAGCACAGTAAATGGATCTTCTCTCTATCCGATCGAGCACTTTTTCACGAGGACTTCTGGTGGTTTGTGTGGTTTTTCTTTATGATAGAGGTAGTACGAACGTTTTTTTTGTCTATATGATAGATGGCTCTTTTTTCGGGGGCCTTGAACCTTTGACGCACGTAAGAATAAGAAAGAAAACTCTACGCAAACGCTAACTACGAGGGGTGGGTAGACGATTTTCTTTCGGGAAGAGGGGCTTTAAAATTTCAGAAATCTCCATCAATGTTCATCCTTCAGAACACTCGAAGAATATCGAGATTCGTGCGAAATATTTCGGCATTGATGTAGTCCCAAAAGACTGTCGAGTTGGAAAATTCAGTTTCTTGTTTTGCATTTTCAGCAAGAGAAATTCCTTTTTCTCTTCTCATTCTTCTCGCGAAAAAACAATTTTTCATCAGAAAAAACTCAACAGATGTTTTTCGTTTTCTTCACAAATAGCTATGGCTAAACACCCTGCCCAGGCAATGAAAGAAAGAAAAAAGCACGAACGATGATCGGCCGATGGTGTCTCCACTCACAACGAGTCATCTTCGCTCGGTTTTCCACGCGCTGTCGAAGGAAACGAAACAACCCAATTGTGTCCTCATTCAAAAATAACGAACAAGCAGCACGACGCGTACATCGCATGTGCAAACCTAGTTCTATTGAAAGCCTCGGCCGCCGATTCGCGACTTCGTTGCTCCACCTCAAAATATTCCTATAGAGAATGCGTATCCGCAGCTATTTTTATTCTCGCTATTCAATGCGATCTACTTGGTCAAACCAATTTCAGATCCGAAATCATTCGTGCAAAAGGAGGTCACGGCGACTTGCGAAGCAGCTTCGACGGATATTCATCTTCTTGGAAACAAACCTTTCGCGAATCTTCTCATCTGGCTTTTCTGTTTACGTTTAATTTTGTCAGAAGTTAATTTTGGTGGAGTAAGTCTAAAGTCATGATTTTTTGTCTACGGTGCAATTGGTATTTTGAATGAATAATTAAGATGAATAAATGTATTTTTATCACTTGTTTCAGGAGCAATTTTACAAACAAAAATAATTGGTGTACACTGGTAAAACTATAGGTGTTGAGGATTTTTTTTTGCGGTTGAGTCTACACTTGTAATCAACTGTGAATTAAGGTACATCTACATTCTGGTAGTCCGCAGCAGCGGCCGAAATGAGAGAAGCTTTGATTTTCTTTGATTGTAAGATTTCTTCGAAGCTAGTCTTCAGCGTATATGAGGTTGTAGGTACACCACGTCCTATCACTCCAGCGTTCATTTCGTGGAAGCACTACAGTATACAAATGGTCTTCTCGTCATCTGTGTACAACCTAACTTCCGTTATTCCGCCCTTCCATTCACGAGTTTATGTTTGTGTAAAACAAACTCACTCCCAGCACCATTTCCGAAATGACGATGTTTGCCCTGCTGCGGCTGCTGCGGAGACAAACTGATCGGGGAGGGGGGGAAAGTAATGCTAATGCACATGCGTACTCAGACTTACAAGAAGTTGAAGCTGTCATGCAAAACAAGCTTTGAAATGGTCCTCGCAGCACACAAACGCATGCACCAGATGCAAGACAAATCTCGATACCGGGAGGGAAACTTATTTTTTGTGATACCCGCAGTCTGCTCTTCCATGTGCTCGGTGTCCTGCTGTACCTCGGTTTTGTGAGTAATTGCGTTTGTCATGCGCGAAATTGGAATGAAGTGGCTCTTTATCTGTCATGCTTAGAAACGAAAACCCATCTGCGAAGCACATCATTTTATACGACCTATACCTCCTGCTTCATCCGTTGCAGGTTGTTGTGCCGGATTTTTCGGTATGCAGTGCTTCAAATACTTCTACCACAATTTCATCGTCAGGATGGACGTGTGTTACGCTACAAACGGATGAAACGTAATTTTCAAAACTTGTTGTGCGCCACACCAGGATGCAGTAGAAGGGCAGATTCATTGATACGCTATGCGCATGACAAAGCTGCATGACAAACTTTTAACAGCAGAGGTAGTTGTAGAAGTAAGAAGTAATTATGTCATCGGATACCAAAGTCGTCTGCTCCATGTCGTGCAACATCGTGTAGAAGGTGCTCAGGGAATATGACCATGCACAACTTACGTATTCTTATACCCCTCCCTCTTTTTGAAATACATGACAAAACGACACTCCTGGACGATTCCGCATGAAAAGTTGCTCCTGTACTGCTTGTCAAGTAGCAGCACCTGCGCCTAAGGCAGGCGTTACAAAGCGTTTGATTAGGTTGGCGTAAGAGGCACAATTTAGCATGGCAAATCAGGAAGGAGAAAGAAATTTGTTCCATTTTTCGTGCACCACTTTCATAAGAAAGGATCCGGTTTCTGATCCACGACGGTCCTGTTGTTGTTTTTTTCTCGGTGCCGAAAGTCAATCAATTTCCTTTCTCAAATCCAAGGTCCATTAGCAAGACAAAAAGTCAAAAGATAGATGAAAGTTTGTCATGCAGAAACCACCTCGAAAATTTCTTTTGTCATGCAGAATCAAGAGCCACTATCAAACCAAAATTTGTAATATACCAGTGCGTCGCGTTTCCGAGCATCAGGGTATGACAGTGCACAAACCCCCCTTCCCTCATTTGTCATGGAAAATACTCAATCCACTCCTTTCCTCTTGGCACTGTTTGCATGACAAGTTCTGGTAGCCCAAATACCACTAAAGTCCAGTGCAAACTTGTCATGCAAAATCTTATTAGTGATGCTTGTGTTGCCGCTCATGCTGTACAAATGAGGATGAGGGGGAGTTGTGCACTGATGTCATACAGGGGCTTCCGGTAGTAAAAGGCATCGTACTCCATCTTGTACTTGGTTTGCGGTTATGCACTGCAAATATGGTGTCTGGCGTCTAGAAACATGCGAACGTTGGAAGTTGTAATGCTGGTCTTCTAGATATTCCTATGCAACCAAAATGTATCGTAGTACTTATACGCATGACCAGCGAAAGTTGTGCTCTTTTTTGTACATACAAAAACGTAGTTCTGCATGCGAACTATGCATGGAAAAGCGCCTTACAAACTTGTCATGCTTGGCTGCATCACAAGTTCTTGTCATGCTTGGCTGCTGGTGTTTTCTTTTCATCATCCACAGTCCAGCATCACAAGTTTCCACACCCAGACATATTTGCGTCCCATAGCGGTGCCCCGATGGTGACCACTTCTTTCGTCGCTGCATCAAGGTGAAAAGGTAGGGCTTTTTCGAACTGATTTGTCATGCGGACACTCTAATGATGCTCCTTGCTACAAACAATTACGATAAACATGTTTGTGATGCATATATTGCTAGCTTCACTGGCTCATCACTTGACAGTAGAAGCCCTTTTGCATGACAAATCCTTGATTTCCAAAAAACGGCTTTCACCTATCCTATGGAGCGCGGGTGGAGCACCCGGCAGACGACGTCTTGGAGGAAATCGGCATTGTGTTTGTGTTGGATGGGCGATATGCATGAGAAATTTTCAGCATTCCAAACTTGTCACGCAGTCTTGCATGCACGATGGTATAGACGTCACACGTTTGCTTTGTTTTTCATGTGTTTTATCAAGCTACAATATGGATAATCCATTTAGAAAAGTTTGGACTGAGGGAAAATTCGTCTTGCATACTACTGCGACTCCTTGGCTGTGTAATCCTGTTGGTTCTCCTGCCTGGTGTGAAACAAACGGCGTCAGGCGCTCGTTGACGCAGTGAGACCAACTGGTACGCACTATCTTTTTGTTTCGAGCTCGAAAGTTCGAAGATCGTCCTCTTGGTGTAAAAAACCGGCTTTTCAAGGGGCAGAAGATCAAGATGCACTTCGGACTCTTCCGTTTCGATCAATGAGACAAGCTCATGCGACGTTTTTAAATAATATTCGAAACTCACAACCAGCGGGCACGAATACGATCGACGACATTCGATGCGTGACGAAGACAAAACGTCTCACATCGATCACCCTCGCCTCGATTCGTTGCTCAACACGGGTCGATCAATCCGTCCGAAGAAGGAGTCTAGTACTTTTACTTAATATTACTAAGCCTAAGGTATAAACCGATAAAATACGGATCGAAAAAACGAATTCACTCGCCGAATACGTAGCGAAGCACTCAAGGTGAGTCGAAACCTAGCGCGATTCCAAAATTTTGTAGAAATAGAATTCATTTTTACAAATGAAAATCCTTTATACAAACCGAAACCACGACGCTCTTGTTCTAGCGGACCGAGTAGACAAAGATAATGACGATATGGTAATCACGACGTTCTTCTGCCAAGTTGTCCGAGGACGAAAGCAGTGGCGCAGACAGCATCGAGGAACGAAGACCGTGACGTTTGTGTCAAGAAACCGAATAGCACCATGCGAGCACTTTCTCAGCCATCGCTTCTGTTGGTGCGGCTTACCTACAGAAATGGATCTTTACTGAACCTGAAGCAGTAGATCTGCACAATTTCGATTAGCCATCAATATTTCATCATCGTGGTCGCGCTCAACATCTACTTGATTTTGCATTTACTTGTTCCAACCGACTGAGTACGATCTGGACGCTCACAGGCGGAAAACGCGGAAGGCAAAATCTCACATGAAGACTGGCTCCTTCCATGACAGCCTGCTGATAAGCATTGCTTTTTCCAGCGTCGCTTTCGAGATTCTGAAAAAATATTACGAGCGAAGTCAACCGGTTTATTTCTTTTTCGCTCGGCGTCCATTGTAAAACAATTTCAACGTGGGAAAGTTCCTGTTTCGGTAAGAAAAAATCAAGTAAAGTACTCCTACTTGCTGCTCAAGAAAATACTGTTGCGCTGTCGACCAACAGCTTGCTCTGTCATCTCCAAAAGCTGAAGTGGTTTCCCGTTTCCGGAAGATGAAATTATGTATCTATACAACAGTCCCACATCAGTTTCTGGATAACGATGAGGATGATACTGACTGCATAAACACCAGTGAAGACTCCAGCGCATTGCTCATGCGCTCGCCGACCGTCTCTCGGAGTTTCAGCGGTATCCCCTGGATGTGTTTGGCCAGGGCGTCCGTCTTATCCACTGCAAAAGTATCGCACTCGTAGTAATTGCATTTATGCATTACAAATTTCTTTCTCAAGGCAAATCAGCATTACGGATTTAATTTGTAATGCTGGGCGAATTTGTAATGCAATTTATACTAGTACGATGCTTTTGCAGTTCATACGTCTTGCAGTGGGGCAGCAGCAAGTCGCACATTGCCAGCGTGAAGGTGTCATCCTCTGCAAATATGTCGGGGTCTGGAAGAATGCAAAATTTGTGAGGCTCGCCCTGGATGCTACAAAAATCTGTGTTGCGGGTGTAGCACCAAAAGTGGTCCACTTTTTGCTACGCGGATAGGGTATTTCATCTCTTGCGGGATTAGTAGGCATCAGGAAGTTCTCATTCAAGTAACCTTAGCTATGGTGCTCGGGTATGTACATTGCAGAGATGGTGCGTCATGCTAAATCTGCAGCATGACCTCCAAGGGCACACTTTTCCGGACCCGGATGTATTGCATTGGATATGTGTTGCAGTTGTTGTACAGATGCCGGTATAATTCTCCGTGCCCTATGAAGTTCTCAAACGTTTACATTATTCGAATTCGTATCCCTATAAAATTAGCACCAGGGAGAGGGCAGGGCCTGCATATTCCGCACCACAGAATCAGCGCAGATTTCCATGATTTTCTTACACCCTTCGAGAGTTTTGGCATGCGAAGTAGTCCGGTCGTTGGGTTGCGGACGAAGGCAAAAATTTTCTTTCCCTGCAACAGCAAAGATCGCAGCCGCTTGAGATTTTCATACCCCCTGCGAAATCCCTCTGCGCCGCGTCGAAGAGCTCCGCGGCCGTTTCGTAATCGTCCACAAAGTATCAACTGTAAAAGTGTCTGGGTCTGGAAGAATTCATGTTTGTCATGCTTGTCTGGCATGCCTCTTAAATCTGTCATGCACGTTACCCAAGAGCTCCGCTTTTCTGTGATGCAGAAGCGCAGTTTGTCATGCAGAATAGGCAACACCTAGGAGCTCAGAAGGTTGTCATGCTGAGCCAGCATTTGTAGCCTCGTCATGAGACGCCCCCCAGCATGACAAGTTCCCAGACCCAGACATTTTTACTTTTCATACAAACCCCACGAGGATGCTGTGTCGATAGACCCACTTTCCGCCGCAGGCTGCCTGGGCACGCACGCGCTCGACGGCCACTCCGCCAGAGGATGATAGGGGAAGTTCGCCACAAGTGGCGGGTGCCAATTGTAGTGTCGCCTTAATTGCATTTGCTCCCACTAGAACTATGATGGTTCCTGGGAAGGTGGAGAACTACATGCAAAACAAGTGGTCGAGAAAATGCAGTATGCATCAGAATATCGCATGCAAAAATGTCTGGGTCTGGAAGACTCATGCCGTTTTTGCATGACACAGGGGTTCTGGCATGGAAGCTCTAGCATCACAGGTTTCCAGAAGCTTCCGCAATGCCAAATCCGCATGACAAATCCCCCTCCTTGCTGGCAGAAAGTGGGCAGCTTTTGCTACTTACCCATGCATGAGAGATTTTTTCTGGGTTCTGAAATGCGCATCACAAGTTTGTATTCTTCCAGACCCAGGAGACATTTGTGCATTTCATACAGAACCCGAAGATAGCAAGGTATCCAAACTTGTGGCCGCATTTCATCGCTCGATACGCTGTATTGAAATTCACTACCGCCAAACTCGATCCCGCTGTGGAACGGCTCCTTCTCCATGAGTTTACCGACGAACCGACTCGATCCCGACGTCAGGTCGTACACATTCACCCACACTGCCAGCATGCTCGTATCCAGTGCCGTGAACCTGTGCGGTTGCCCCTTGTACAAATCATCGTGGTCGTCTGGCTCCTGCAAGATGCCCTCACTCGTCAGTGTTCGGATAACACGCCTTCCCGGCTGCTCGCTATCGCCCACCTGGAAGACAATAGTCACATCGGATGCGTTCTGTATCAGTTCTTCTCCATAGATTCCTGCGCCAGAAAAAGCGGGTGCTCTCGTTTCACCATTTGGCTTTTTCTCGTACACGTGCCAGAACACCTTTTCGTCCGGGTTTGTCACTTCGTACTGCACTACTTTCGCATCGGGCGCATTTTCCCCCTTGGAGGCGATGCTGTCCTCATAAAACCGTTTGTGCACCGTCAGCTGCACGCCGGAGGATGATTCGGGTGGCAGCAATATCCTGATTAAATACGTCCCCACACCAGAGTCAAGGTGGGAAATCTGCTAGACAATTCACCCAGCTGTGGTTGTTTGGCCTGACAAGCTTGTCCTCGTAGTGAAATCCTGTTTTAGCTAGTTTAGAAGCATCACAGGTCTAGCATGTCATGCTGATTCTAGCATCACAAATTCCAAACCACGAATAGGAAATGCTTCTCATAGGGCTCCGCATGAGAAAGAACATTTTTGGCATGCAAAATTGCACGACAACTCTGGGGTGTTTATGTACTGGAAGAGACCAAAACAAAGCACAGAGAAACTTCAAATTTTCAGGGGACGACTCTGGGGTGGGGACGTTTTTACACGGGATAAGCAAACCCTTCGCACGCAGGGCGCCCCCCACGGTCTTGAGAAACTGCGGGACTGTGACGTGCTGGCCGTATCCCAGAGAAAAAAGCTAGCAGGGCACATTTGCATGTGGAAAAATAAATACTTATTAAGAAAAATCTGTCATGGAGGGCCGCTCCATAGCATGCTGTTTGGGCCATGCAATACAGATTTTTTTGCGTCAGTATTTACTTTTGCGTCACAAATATGACCTGCCTGCTTTTTTCTGTGTGATAGCCCGAACTGGAAATTGATTGACGAACCCTCTTATGCACGGTAAGCGTATCTGGGTGTGAAAGCATGGAAGCCTCTGACCCTGATGCCGGAGCAAGCAACGAAAATCTGTGTTGCACGAACGCCAAAAGATTCCCATGGGTTGATGCCACGCAAGGAGCAAGGTTCTCATGCGGGACAGGGTTCAAGAAGGCTATTCATAAGCCTGCCGTGCCTTGTTTGTAGTTGTACGCATTCTAGGATGAGGCCATTTCTTTGTCCGATGCAAACGACGCATGACAAACAGGACCACTCTTTCAGACCCAGACACGTTTGCAGTTTATACCTCTGGCTTCGTCTTGTACTCCGGGTACGCATATGAAATGTAAAAGTGTCTGGGTCTGGAAGAATGCAACTTGTGATGCTAACTTTGGATTCGAAAAAAATCTGTATTGCATGAGCAGCAAGAGGCGCCCAGTTTGTGCTACGCGGGGAGGGCATTTGTCATGCGGGATAGGCATTGGCATCAGGAACGCCTCTAGAAATATGTGATGCTAGGTCATGCATTTCAGACATCCTAAGTCATGCAAAATATGCATGACAAACCTGGTAACCTTCCAGACCCAGACATTTTTACAGTTGATAACGCAGCGGGGATGCTCGTGTCGTACTTCCAGGCTAATGTGGAGCCCGAGTCTAAGTTCCTTGCACTCTCGCAGGGTATAACAGTGCAAAACCCCCTTTCTTCCCATTATCTGTATTGGTATTCTTGCAAAATGTCGGATGAAGTAGTCCGCACATCGTGTTGAAGCACTGTCTGCAACACAAATTTCGCAAACCTCAAACATCAGTATAACAACCCGCGTGCAGATTTGTCAGGCGGAAGCTACTTTTCTGCTGTCACTTGTGCTCCTACTCATGCCCTTCATGTACAAATGCGGGACGGCTGGTTCTGCACACACTCGCATAAAGATAACATCAATCTTGCAATCGCCATCACTGCTTGGACTCGGTGACACAATATGCATTGCAAATATGTCTGGGGCTGGAAGAGTGCAAAGTTTGTCATGCGGCTTGAGGTCTGGAATGGCGCATGTAGCATCAAGGACTGCGACTGTACAAGATCCTATACAATACCTAGCCCGCATGAGAAGCATCGTCTGAACTTGCCCCAAAGTGGGCAACTTGTAGTAGTCACGCAACACAGACTTTTGTGTGTCGCACAGGAAGCATTACAAGTCCACATATTTTCAGAGCCAAACATATTTTCAGTGGATAGACGATGGGACGATGCGATGGAGGTGTTGCTGGGACGATGGGATGGAGCGTTTTGTCGAGGGTGCTCAGCCGGGGTCTCCTTATGCTGTGAAAAAGTATCGGACTTGATGTAGCATAAAACCGCAAAAATGCATCACAAATCTCCTCGCGTCCCACAGGATGAAATCTGTATAACGAATTCCATTTGTCATGGCTATATTGTTCGCACTGCACTTACTACTAGTACTAGTCCGATACCTTTACAATTCTTATTCCTACTGAAAAAGCAACATCGTGTTGCCTCTTCAACAACACACGGAGGTGGAGAAGGAAACGCGGGAGGTGGAGTGCCCTGCATTCTTAATATATGTTTTTGATGTCCACGAGCAGAAACTGCGAAAAATAAGAAAAATAAATACAAGACCAACAACAGCTTTTCCTCTCAGAAAATCCAGAAGATCCAATGTATACAAATTTTATGAAATCCGGAGAAATAAACTAGTGGACTAATCGGATACGGTTCCTGAGCGGAACGTCCTGGAAGCGGACATCCATGCTGTTCGCACGAGGCTTGCGCGTCGTGAGATTTTTCTTCAGGGTTCGAGACCATCAATCACTCAAGCCAGGACGGACAAGTCCTACTCCCCAGGAGCAGCAAAGTAGAATCTGTTTTTGAAAAGAATTAGTAAATTGCAGTAAATTTATATACGCCCGGCGTCTCTCACAGCAAAAAAAACACACGCTTCTCCTGCAAGGGGGCTCCGGCTACGATTGCCTTAACCCGGACAGGGAGTAACCTTGGGAACACGACTGCGGTGGTCCATGCGCTGACAGCTGCATCGGAGACTACAAGCCCCAAGATTGTGACTACACCAGGAGAATTTATACACAACTGGACTTTTTTCATCCACCTCGTCGTTTACTTATAATTACTTTTACTTTTACTGTTTTGTTGAAAAGGTGGCTTTGATTATTTTCTGTTCGGTCTACACCTTGTACTTTGAGGCGATACTATTTCTATTTTGTTCTTACTTTATACCATTGTTTCAAGACGTGAAGCATCTGACGTTTTTTTTCAGGTTAGGTTTTGATTGGTCTTGATGCTGTCGACCGCAGCATTGAAAAGTAGAAGACGTTCTCGAGCCAAATTGGGGTAAGATGAAGTCGAAGCTCAAACAATTACATAAAATAACAAATAAATATCGAAAAATAGTAGGGTGACTAAACTGTCAACAGTAATTAGCAGCTCTCTAATGCACCATTGCTGCGTGTGCATGCCAAGATTGAAGACAAATAAACGTGCTTTGATTTTTTACTCTTGCTTCAAGGTTCGTTGTTTCACCACAAGCAAAGCAGCAGGTCGCAGACTCCAGCAGCGTTCCTGTTCCGGAGAATCACAAACGATTGACTATGGAAAGAAATTGCCCTTGCAAGCTTGTTTCAAGAGTGACGAAAGTATCCTGCTCTTGCTGATGCCTCGTCTTCGTTTATCTATTGATCATGGTGTCATAAAAGCAGCAACGACGACGTTCCTGAGTCATGAACCCAGAAAGGCATGCTATGGCCGGGGAGATGCCATCCGACGTGTTAGGAGACTGATAGTATCCCCTTGTGGTTACGTTATACAAACTTAACGCTTGTTCCACCTCGTGATGACGTCCAAACATGTTGAAACTGCGGACTGCAAATTCTCTTCTTTCGACCTCCAAACTTCCCAGTAAAGTGCGCATGCATGCTTGTTGCCGAATGTCATGCAGAAGTAACCATGAAACTCTTAATGCTTATAGGAAGATTACACAAGACACTGATGTGCGGGAAAGAGGACAATTTTCACTTCGCAGTTTCATCAGCCTGCTCTTCTCCGTTTTTCCCTATCGTCAGGAAAAATCCCCCACCCCTTACTGACCAAACGCGTGGGACGGGTTGCTGATTTCCGCACACAGGCATGTGTCACCCTACTAGATGAAGGCCGCAGCTCCTATTTGACACTCCAATGCCTCCACCCAGCCTCACAACCTCGATCTGCCTTCATGTGGCGAGCCTTCACTTCTTATAAGCAAATGCAGCCACCAGGAGCTGCCTTCTGTACAATAAACCTGGATGAGGAATTTCCTTGAGGAAAGCGTTGGGGAGGGAGATTCTTTTATTGATATTTTCGCTCGCGAGATTCGTTGTCTCCGCCTTCATCGATTCCGCTCCGCCGTCCACGTTGGCTATGGTGCTCGTTCTGGTGCCGGCATATGAAGGTGCACAACTCCCCCCTTCCCCTCATTTGTTTTTGTATGGTATCAACCGCATTACAAACACCAGTACAAGTGGACCCTGTGCATGACAAGTTCATGTGCCGAGTGTAGTACTGTTTGAATTTGTGGAATTTGTCATGCACATGGTGCCAAAAGGTAGCAACTGGATTTGGGTTTTTGCATGACAAATGAGGGGGAGGGGGGGTTGTGCACTGTCATACGGCACCGCCGGGATTCACAATCGGGGAGGAAGCCGGAATGTGATGGGTTTTTTCCTGCTCTTCGGGTTGTACAAATAAACGAATCGATTCATCTTTGCCATCAAATGAAACTGATGTTGCGTTATCCATTTCTACAAAGCAGTTCGTCAGCAATGCCTCGTCATACATAATACTAGGGCACTTCCCTGACTATACAAATTTCTGCGGATGCCGTTTTCTTCCCTCTCATCATGCGTATTTGCTTGCAACTGCAAGCGTAGTTGGAGGTTGCCTGCTGCAAGCAAGGGTAAAAGGGGCACAAAATGCGATAACTAATCTACCCACGACAAGTCTGCCATGACAAAATCATCTGTTCTGGATAACTTTGATTCTCCGACTGGTCCTGGTGATTTGCGGATGAGCTGGTCGTCGCTTTCTGCTGCGTCGTCTCTGCTCCGTTTTCCTGCACAAGCGCGTCACGGTTCGAAGCTGGTCCATCGTCGTGGGCCTTCTTGCCTGTCGCTTTTTTCTTCGCCGATGCTGTCGGCGTCGCGCTCAGCTCCGGTAGCAAGGTCTCGCCGTCGTACGGAATGACGACATACCCGTGACCCGTGAACGCTGTTGGCCCGGTGCGCGGCGACTTCTTCTTCTTGGCCTCGGAGTCCACCCCGCACGGCGATACCTCGGCCCCGGATATCTTGGCCCGCACGGCGTCCAACCAGGCTTTCCGGAAGGTATGCAGGTGAGAGTTGTGCCCCCGTTCAGACCCCCGCAGGAAGGAGATAAGGACCAGCCACAGGTAGTACTCGACCTGCTCGACGTGGAGGACCGCGCACGTCTTCCGCAACTGCTTTTTCTTCCCCTCCGAGAAAATGGACGCGTGGACTAGTGATGCCCGTTTACACAGTTGAGCAGGATGATCTGGCAGTTTCTCGGGGGCATCAACATGAACATCACGTTTGAAGATCGTGTCAGCTGTGTTTCCGACCAGCTTCGCGGCCACAAACCCGCTCTTCATTTTCGCGACAACGCCGGCGATGTTTTGCAACGCCTCCCGGGCCCGGGGTTTCGCTGCCAGGATTTCCGGGTCGGCCCTGCGAAAAATGATCTGCACCGAGGAGACGACCAGGTCTTCCAGCACATCCCACGTCATACCACCCCAGGGCTTCGTTGCAGACTGCAGCCACAGCCGTGTTTGTGGCCCTACCTTCGCATTTCCCTCGCACGTCAGAACAATCTGGTCGTGCACCCGTATGTTCCGTTCGTTCACGTTCGGGCCGCGTCGCATGCTTCGGAAACATTTCCGAACGAATGTTACACATTGTTCGAACTGCTCCAATGTTACGCCGATGGCGTCTGGTGTGGAAGACGTGAAAGAAGGTTCCGTTTTTGCCGCCTTTGGGTCTTGCTCGGCCGATCTCCCTGGAACATTACTTGCACGCTTTCGAGAAGATGCGGCGGGGGTCTGTAAGTTAGCTCCAAGCGCTAGTCCCTCGCTAGCTGCAGTACTGCCTACCACCGCTACAGGCGCGCCGGTTGGAAGGCCATGCGTTTCACCAGCGGGTGGGGTTTCTGCGTTGCGATCAGTATTATCCTTGTTTGTCGACTGCAGAGGGGCGTCCGCAGCACTGTCTTCACCACTTTCCTTCCCTCTCTCCCGCACTGTTTTGTCGCGGTGCTGCTGTTCGCCCGTTTTATCATCACTAGCGCGGCAGCCATCGTCACTGTCGTAATCATCCGCGCCACCCAGCCGCGGAAGGTCTGTCATGTCGGAGATAGCGTGCTCTTCCTGATCCTTCTTGTAGTAGAAGGGAAAACGAAGGCCCGGCACATAAAAGGCAGTATCCGTGTAATCTGTTTGGCTACCATGCGCATCCTCTTCCTGGAACAGCTCGATAACTTCGCGGTTTACATAAACCTTCTGCACCATGATCTCTTTGTCCTGATAGAAAAACGTTTTGTATATTCGGGGCAGAACAACTTTAAAGTGGAAGGAGGTCTGCCACAATCAGGCGAGTCATGGCTTCTCCATTTAATATTACGAGCGCTGTATTTGTTCCCTTCAACATACAAGGAGAAGGGCCTGCGCCGCAACTACGTAGCAGGTGCAAAAAAGGAAGCCGGGTGTCTGTATTCGTAAAGTGCAATACTCTGGGACCGCATGTAACTGCGGCGAACGCAATCACTCTTGTGTTTTGGTGGTATTCATCTTCATGAGAAGCACAAAATAACAGCCTCCGACATAATTGCTGCGCGACGAATGCGACGCCAAACACGCCGCAAAGCGAGTAAACATCTAAGCAAGTAGGTACCGGCGGCAGTGTGCAAAGGAACTGGAAGATAGCACGAAGCTCGAGCTCGGAGACTTCGTAGTCTGGCGAGGGTATGAAAATATAAAACCACTACTGCTGGCCACCACGTTCAGTATCTCATGCGCACCGCAAGCGAGGCCCAAGCCTCGCGCTTTTTGGCACTTCACTGCAAGCGCCGATCTCTTCCGCGTGTGCTCTGAACGAGGTTTAGGCGGCTGGGCTTAAGTTTCGCACACATATAGTACCGGACAAGGGTGCTATTCGTGCTGATGTTCTTCAGATACTCCGCGCCTGGCATCCCGAACCGGAACTGCTTCGTGGTTGCGGCGCCCCGCTTTTCGAACTTGTTGTCTAGCACAATCTCAAACGGCACCGGAACTACCGGCACTCTTGCTGCTTCCCGTGTCTGGTACTTGTTCCAGATATCTGTCGGCATTTTGGGTTGCTACTTTAACATGAGAAGGGGAGGTCGAAGCCCGTACACCATCACCCCAGTGCGCTGCCTTTTTTCGGAGCGCATTTATAAACAACAGAGAGAGGCCAACGCTCTGCCGGCCCTTCGGGCATCCATCTCCTGCCGCGAATCTTTCCCCAGCTTTGAGAGGAGCAAGAAAGGGCACACGGCACACGGCGGAGCCGGTAGCCACTTCAATCAGTCTGCTCAGCGACAGCCAAGGCGGCGAGTTTTTCTTCGGCTTTGGGCGGGGCAAGAAAGGGCACGCCGCTGGCTGAGCCGGTACGCAATTTATCGACAGGCGCGCGCCAACCTTTGGCGCCAGGAGGTGCGTCGCAGGTCTTTCATCGACAACCCCAAGGCGGTGGATTTTTCCCCGGCTTTGGGAGGGGCAAGAAAGGG